GTAAATGTACATCTACATGCATTGTACAGTATATGCACATACACATGTACGCACAAATATACACAACCCCAAACATCTCCATATATTGCAAAAAAATGCTTTTAAAACAACTTTAAAGGTAATACTGTATACTATTTTTCAACTGCCTCAAAAACCATAAGCATTGGTTCATCTTTAGGTTTTATATCTTCTTTAGATTGTTCTTTTTTATGTACAGTGCCCTGAGACAACGTATGTTGTGACTTGGCGCTGTATAAATAAACTGAACTGAATTGAATTGAATGTGTTTTTTTTGTTTGTTTTTATTTTTAGCAATGAAACACTCAAACACGCACTTTGCTCAGTCACATTTCTGCTGTCCTCTTTTTAAAGAAGTCGGATTCCTCACTTCTTGGATGCGAGGCATTTATGGAACATCCTACAAAAAAAAATAAAAAAAAAGATTTACAGTCTCCTTCAGGAGATGCAGTTGTACAAATAAAATAAAACAAGTAATTATTGATCTGACTGTGCTGCATCACTTTTAACAATATTTCCTCTCCTTTTTCAGATAACTCCATGAGCTCAACAGACTGTGAGTATTTCATTCCTYTTCTGAGTCATACTGTTTGAACAAACGTGTAGGACGCATGTAAGTTATTACCTTGGAAAATGTATTTTGGGCTGCARACAGCAGTGATGAATGCTGCTGAGCTGAACCTTCCACTAGCAGAGCAGGTGCGGCAGGTGCTCTGTACTTCCAGGCGAACTTAACTTTTGAATGTAGTTCTGTCTTATATGCATACAGTATATATACTGTGTATATGTATATGTATATGTATATATATAAATCAAGCTCATTTCTCTCCTTGATACGTAGATCTTTACCTCAATGGAAAAAAAAGGTTTCCCTGGGGCTGGTTCTCTTCAGGTTTTTGTGTTTAATGAGTCCCAAAGAAAGAGTGTTGCTGGTACTGCTGAATCGGTGGGTGCGTGTTTAGGTGTTGATTCTAGTTTGTCGTCCGCAGCTCCGGAGATCGATGAGGCAGCAGTTATGCAGCTGGCAGAGATGGGCTTTCCACTGGAGGCCTGCAGAAAGGCGGTGTATTACACCGGCAACATGGGCCCGGAGATGGCATTCAACTGGATCATAGCCCACATGGAGGAGCCTGGTAAGGAATGAATCGGCACACAAAGCTGAGGGACCGGGGAGATGTTTGAATCTCGAGCCCTGAATGAACATGTTGCATTAGGACATCTGGTTTTTACACACCAGAGTTTCTGAAAAGCTTCATGAAACAGTTGGAGTTGAACAAAATTGAACTAAATCATTTGATAGATGAAATGGTGTCTATTTTTTTATTTTATTTTTACATTTTTAAAATTCCAAAATAAATAGTAATTTAAAACAGAACAGTACACAGAAAATGGAAATCAAAGAATGAAAC